AAAATAAATAGACTATCAGGAGGTTGCATGGTGTGGAGATTGGTGCTTGGGGGAATGTCTTTGAGAGGCGTGTTGTGTCTTGTACTCCCTATTCCTCCTCTCAGCTTCCTGGCTGGCATAAGGGTTACAGTCGTCTTGTTATACCCCTCTGTGACAATCTTTCTGCCTTGCTATTTGCCCTCACAGCAATGGAGCCAGCAGGCCATGGGCTGAAGCCTCTGAAGTCAGGAGCAAAATAAATGTTATAGCCTGTAAATTCTCTCAGGTATTTTTGCCTCAGTGACAAAACTAAGAATCTAACACAGAACCCACAATTGCTGCTGACCAGAGAAGCATGCGCATTCCAGGAGGGGTGTCTTGCTGACTTGTAAACATGTAAAATGCATTTTTATTGCTATTTGAAACCTCTGGTTTGGGTGTGTTTGACTTCGCAGCTATACTGGTGCATGACCGTTTCAACCATGGGGAAAGGAATTCACTCTTCTGGGTCTCCGTTCCCTTCTGAATGTTATTGTACTTTTATTAAGTTCCTATGTTGCAGCTCTTTCACAAGTTGGGCTTTTCACGGAAAAATAAATTTCTGACTCAGAACTCTGTTTAGCGAACTAAAGAAAAATATTAATTCTATGGTGACAGATAGAAAGGGAAAGAATGATAAGCATAGTAAGAGTCTTAGATGGAACATGTGTTAGTCAGGATGCACCAGGCTATGCTTGGTAACAAACATTTCCTGTGTCTTAGTGACTTACAATCACATGAGCTTATGTCCTGTGTACATGTCTGTTGTGGGTGGCTGACAGAATCATCTCTGATACTGGGGCCTTCACACAGAAAGCAAAAGAACCCTGGGTTCTCTCTCTCTCTCTCTCTCTCTCTCTCTCTCTCTCTCTCTCTCTGGAAATTTGATATAGTCTGAAAATGTCTTATGTTATTCGTTCCCACAGCTTGTCTACCAGGGCTGGTTCATGACCTCCTGTACTCTAACAAGGTCAGAAATCACCTTATCCTATGCTGAGGAGATAGAGAGCCAGGGAAGTCCTGGAGCTGCTCCAGGGACTGTTCTGGAACTTTCTATGTGATGGGAAGACTCAGTGTTATTGGCAACTCAGTTCTTGCTGGCTGGATGACTGAGAACTCGGGATTTTGTTGACTGTCACCTGGAGACCACTTGCAGGTGTTCCTACAGTCCACAGCTCTGCAGTTGTCACACGGCTGAGAGAGTTGGCCTTCCATCACTGTGACAAAATGTCCGATACGATCAACTTATCGGGAGAGATTTATTTGGCTCACAGTTCCAGAGGCCTCGATGCGCGGTTGATTGGTCCAGCCAGTGGCAAGGGAGCATGCAAGGCCACATGGCACAGGAAGCTGCTCATCTCATAGCAGCCAGGAAGCAGAGAGAGGTGGGAAAGCACCAAATCCCCCTTACAAGACACACCCCGGCCCTTCTAAAGGTTCCTCCGTCTCCCAACAGTGCTACAGGCTGGGGGCCAGCCTTGACCAGGTGGCACTTTGTGGGGGCCAGCCTTCACCAGGTGGCACTTTGTGGGGCGTGGACTGAAACCACATCAGCTGTATACGACACCAAGCCATCAGACTCTGCAAATATCAGAGACAGGATTGTGCAATGTCACATCACCATGACAATGATGGCCCAAGACCTAAGGGACTGGAGAAACAGCTTGGTAGTTACAAGCACTCGCTGCTCTTCCGGAGGATATGGGTTCGAATCCCAGCACCCACATGGCAGGTCACAACCATCTATAACTGTAGTACCATGGAATCCGATGCCCTCTTTGGTGTGCAGACGTAGGTACAGACGAAGCACCTATTTATGTAAAATAAATGTATTTTATGAGAAGCCAGGTCCCAGGTCCAGGGAGCTACTCTCCTCTTCTCTGTAACATAATGCCTGGTGAAGGCAACTTCAGGAAAGATGCTGCACCTGGTCACATCACATCTGCAGTCGGGAAGCAGACAGCAATGGACGCTGGTGCTACACTTGCCTTCCCCAGAAAGACAAGCACCCACAGTTAGTCCCTGGAAATCCCTTCGTGGGCACACACAGAGATGTGTCTCCTAGGTGGCCCTAAATCCCTCAAGTTGACCATCAAGCTCAAGCATCAAGTCTACTCCACATTCAAATGGAAAACCACACAAAGGTGTGGACACCAGGAGGTAGGAAGTCACAGCAGTCTCCCTGGAGTGCCAAACCTCCCACTTTGGTTTGCACCTTCTGTGCTGTGTAGACGGGCCACTGACTCAATGAAGAGGCTTTAGTTCTTTGTCATTGCTTCTTCTCCAGCTGCCACAGTTGGGGCTACTGCAGGTGTAGGACACCTGGGGGTCCCTGCTGGGAGGGTGCTATGGTGTGTATGTGTAGGTGTGTGTGTACAGGTGTGCAAGTGTGTGTGATGTGTGCATATGTGTGTGCACAAGTGTGTGTGCATGTGTGTGTACAGATGTGCGTGTGTAAAAGTGTGTGTGCAGGTGTGTGTACAGATGTGCGTGTGTAAAAGTGTGTGTGCAGGTATGTGTGTGTACAGATGTGCGTGTGTAAAAGTGTGTGTGCAGGTGTGTGTGTGTACAGATGTGCGTGTGTAAGTGTGTGTGCAGGTATGTGTGTGTACAGATGTGCGTGTGTAAAAGTGTGTGTGCAGGTGTGTGTGTGTACAGATGTGTGTCCATGCATGTACAGACATGTACACCTACATGCATAGGGCACTGCGTGTCCTGCTCTGTCACTCATTCTCCACCTTATTCCCCAGAGACAAGGTCTCTCATTGAACCAGGAGCTAGGATGGCATCCAGCAAACCCCATAGACCCCTCCTGCCTAACCTGAGTTCCAGCTCTGAGGTTATAGGCACACAATGACCACACACACCTCCCTTATTTTAACGTGGGCCCAAACCAGCTCCTTAAATTCATACCCACTGAGCCATCTTGCCAGTCCCTGAGGTCTCTTTTGAATACCCGTCCATCACCCGCCCTTCCCCCAAGCTCACTGTGTGGCCTCAGGCCAGTTGCTTGTCCCTTCTGGGCCTTAATGTTTCCAGCTATAAAACAAGAGGAGACGAATCGTCTCAGCAGCCTAGTGGTAGCTTGTGGGGACATGATGTTTATGGAAAAGTCTGCATATTGACACATGAAGAGGGCCAAATATATTAACTATTTTTATCATTGTTATTCTCAGCTTCTGCCTCAGTCAGTTCCAAACTACTCTGGAGGAACCTTCTCTCATTCTGCAGGAAACATTGCATCTGCAGATATCACGGGGAGCCTTCGGTGTGTGGTACATGGGGGGAGCTCTACCCCGTCTTCCTGGGCCCACATTCTGCCCTGGGAGCCCTTCCTATATGCCCTGTCAGGACTTCACTGTGCAAATTTAGGGCAATGAGTCTTAAGAGGCATTAATATTTCATGCTTTGCTCTGGTGTTCTGCTAAATCGTGTGTGTAGTTTCTGGGAACAGCCAGGCCCAGCTGTTCCTGTCGGTCAGCTGAGCAAGGCCCAGTGTCTTGTCCAAGCGTGGCACAGGAGGGCTCTCCTCTCACCACAGGAGCCTGGAACAGTATGTGTCTAATCTAAGGATGAAGGAGGTGTGTGGCTGAGTCTGAGGCTGTAGCACAATAGAGGAAGATGTCCTGAGAAACAGGGAGGGAAAGGCATCAGAGGACCAGTGCAGACTAGGGATGCCACGGAGATGCCTGTATGTCCTCCATCTTGTTCTTGGGAGACAAGGTTGAAAGAAGAGGCCACAATATACCACAATAGACACAACCTGTTGTGAAGCTATTAATATTCCTTTCTGCCTGACATGTTCCTTTGGGGTAGGGAGAAAGGAGACTGAAAGATTCAGGAAGCAGAGGGCATAGACAAGGCTCGGGAAGCTTGGAAAGTTCCATGATTCTCAAGACCCGCCCCGTGGTTACACAAGCAGTAACCATTCTCTGGGGAACAGGCAGCTCTGGTGGAGCTGCCTACAAGTTCTACAGAAAGCTTAGGAAAGCAGCCTCCAGCCATGACATCACCTGTGCTGGATCTCATGACATCACATGTGCTGTGCTGTGGGACAATAGTTTTGCCCTGTAAAGATTTGTTTCTTGTACTTGTTTAATAAAATGCTGATTGGCCAGTAGCCAGGCAGGAAGTATAGGTGGGTGACCAGGCAAGAAGTAGAGGCGGGGCAATGGGAACAGGAGAATTCTGGGAAGAGGAAAGAGTCAGTCTGCAGTCATCATCCAGACAGAAAGGAAGCCAGACACAGAGCAAGCAAGATGAGAACGCTTCACTGATAAAGGGTACCAAGCCCCATGGCTAACACAGAAAAGAATTATGGGTTCAGATGTAGGATGTAAGAGTTAATAAGAAGCCTGAGCTACCAGGCCAACCAGTTTAGAATTAATGTAGACCTCTGTGTGTTTCTTTGGGGCTGAATGGCTGTGGGACCAGGTGGGATAGAAACCTCTGTCAACAATGCTGGGCCTCAAGAGTGACATTATCCATGCTGGACCTTTGGATGATGCAGCTGCTTTAAAGTCACCCTCATGCATATAAGCACCCACATCATTCATCCTCCTGTAAGGAACCCCAATAAACTCACTTGTTCACCAAACCAGGCTAGGGTGGATTCATTTCTTTAGTCTGTCATTAGTGTCCAGTCCAGGATGAATAGATGCTTGTTCACATCTCCCTAGAGAAAGTCACACCACACAGCCTGAGAAGATTTCCTCCTTCCCTTCCTCCCTCTGAGGAACCCCAGAGTCCCAGTTCTCCTGTCTAGACAGTCTTGCCTCAGTTTCCTTATCTGTGCACTGGGGCGACCAACCAATTAGCTGAGCAGGGCATAGAACAAGGAGTGAAGTGACCATTGAATATGAATCCAGGTCTGTGTCAGTTCACACACCTCCAGGGGCTAGTGCGGGGCTGCCAGGCATAGCTAGAGCTAAGGATGGGACAGTGGAGAGAGGCCAGGTCCCCTTGGGTACAGAGGGCTCAGTTTATTTCACCAGGAGGACCAGATTCCTCTTCTTGCCCCGGGTGGGACGAAAGACCACCTTACAGAGAAGCCCCCCCACAACCAGGAAAGAGACCATCAGCAGCATCAACTTCAGGCCCCTGAGGACGGAGTCCGCTTTGCCTAGCTGGGCCCTGTGCTGCCAACGCCCCTGGCCTTTGGTTTGTCTCTCAGCCTCCAGCAGTTCCACAGAGGCTGCGGGGCTGAATTGGGCTATCAGCTCCTGTTCCACGAAACATCTGTAAATGGCCGGCTGGAAGATCTGCAGCTGCTGGCCACCGCTGAAGGGGTCCATTAAGCTGCCCGTGACCTTACCAGAAAGCTGGTCCTGCCAGGTCAGAGCAGTGTCGTTGGCTTCCCAGTGAACAGGCCTAGATGGAAGAAACAAAGAGTCAAACTTCAGGGTCCTGCAGAGAACGGGGGACTAAAGGGAGCTGAAGACAAAAGCTCCCCGTTCCCTCCATGGAGCCCTGTAAACGTCACCAGGGGTCTGCTGGGGAGGTATGGCCCGGGAAGCTTCTAGACTTCTACCTCTGACTTGCTGGGTGGCCTAAGCCAAGGCCACTAGTTTCCATTTCTTCTTCTGAGAGCAGGGCTATAATGGTGGCACCTGCCTCGGGGTAATTTGAAAGACTTTGGAAAACCGTCCCCTCCATCGGCATTGCCTCTCCTCTGTTTCCTCCACGTATAATGAATGCCCAATCACACTAGCGTGCTAGGACTTTCCAGCCACGCTGCCCCGGGCCTCCATATTTTTTCTGCCATCTACTTGGAGCACCGTCCCTCAAAGCACAGCTTTCTCTCGTCTCCTTCTGCCTTGGCAGGAGTGACCGGTTCTCAAAAGAGCCTTCCTTGACTGCCTCCCCACTTAGAATTTTAATTTCTCCCAACTGCCACCAGCCCTTAGCAACATTTAAAATACTGCATTTTCAAGCTAAATGGGTGGACATCAGGGATCCTTGCACTCAGAAGGCTGAAGCAGGAGGATGACAAATTTGATGCTAGCCTGGGCTACATAAGTAGAATCCCCATTCTCAAAAAGAGAACTCATCAGTTTAAAACGTCATGTGGTCTTATTTGTCCTGAAAGAAAAGGAGAGTTGATTGTTTGGAGTAAGTAGGAGGCTATATGCTCTTCACTGTGTCCTGGGCACCTTACTGAGTGGGTGGATGAATCGGGTCCTCGTGTCCAGGGATGACAGAGGCGATCCTGAGCAGACAGTGATGTTCAGAAGGCCTCTGTAGAACATGAAAGTTTTGCCAGACCAGATCCTGTGGCCAGTAGCCCTCTCAAACATCACAGTTAGTCCACGAGGCCCAGACCAGTCTTGAGTTGGACAGTGCCCATCTGAAATCTCTGTATTTCCCAGAATCTCAGAATGTAACCTTACTTGGAAACTGGGTTATTGTCAATGCGTTACAATGACATCATATTGGAGTAGAGTGGCCTTGAGGTCCAAAGAGTCTGGTGACCTTTTGGAGCCAAGACAGATAAAGATACCCGGATGGAGGCCAAGAAGTGATAGAGGCGGGGATGGGGAATGAAGCTTCCAGCTCGGAAATGTCAGAGGATCTCTGGCTCCCACAGAGGCTAGAAAATCAGGGGTGGAGAGGAAGGGCAGCCTCCTAACAGCTTGCTTCTGACTTCCAGGCTCCAAAGTAGTGAGAGAATACAATTATCATCATCACCGTCATTGTTGTCTTCGTCTCATGATGTACCCTGGAACTCATAGGAATCGACCTGCCTCTGCCTCCCAAGTGCTGGGATTAAAGACATGTACCACTTACCCAGCCGGTTTTATTGTCTTAGGCCACCCCAGTTTGTGGTGCTTTGAGCTATAAATGAATGCAACTCCTGTGGTCAGAAGTATCATCAGTGGACAACATATTGGAGGAAACAAATGAAAAAGACAGAAAATTTTGGCTCATGGTTTTGGAGGTTTCAGTCAATAGATTGGCCAGATCTATTGCTTTTGATGCAAGCCGATATCATGGTAGTGATACCACGTGTGTCTGATTTTTATGGGTGCCAGAAGAAGTCATTGGATTCTTTAGAACTGGAGTTACGAATAGTTGTGGGTAGTCATATGGGTGCTGGAAACTGAACATGGGTCCTATGTAAAAGCAGCAATTGCTCTTAACTGCTAAGCCATCATGTGTAAGTGTCTGTGTACTGCATGCATGTGTCTGTATATGTGTACACGTGTGTCTGTGTACGTGCATGCATGTGTCTGCATATATACATGCATGTGTCTGTGTACTGCATGCATGTGTATGTGTATACATGTCTGTGTATGTGCGTGCATGTGTCTGTATATATACATGCATGTGTCTATGTACTGCATGCATGTGTATGTGTATACATGTGTCTGTGTACGTGCGTGCATGTGTCTGTATATATACATGCATGTGTCTGTGTACTGCATGCATGTGTATGTGAATGCATGCATCTGTGCATGTGCACGAATGTGTCTGTATATGTACATACATGTGTCTGTGTACTGCATGCATGCTTCTGTGTATGTACATACATGTGTCTGTGTACTGCATGCATGCTTCTGTGTATGTGCACGCATGTGTCTGTGTATGTGCATGCATGTTTGTATATGTACACTCAGTCAATCAGGACCCAGATGGTTCCCTGGCACCTCTATAAAATCAGACTCCCGGGCAGTGATGGCACACTCCTTTAAGCCCAGCACTCAGGAGGCAGAGGCAGAGGCAGATGGATCTCTGTGAGTTCAAGACCAGTCTGGTCTACAGGGTGAGTTCCAAGACAGCCGGGGCTACACAGAGAAACCTGTCTCGAAACAACAACAACAACAACCACAACAAATCAGACTCCCTGCAGTTTTAGGGACAGGATGACTGCAGGAGTCAACAGAGGAGGAGGGAGAAGATTGTCTCCAAGACTCTTGCGGGCTCCCTGGACCCAAAGCAAGGCACTCCAGGACTCTGGCAGGGACTGCAGGCAGAGAAGCAATTTCCTGGGGTTTCTGGGATTCCATTAACTTGGGCCTCTTTCTGATTATTCTCACATACAAAGAAAATGTGAACACTGGCAGACAGAAAGCCATCTATCAGGCAGCAACTGAATCTTTCAAGCATCCTTTATCAGTCTACAGTAGCTTCCAATCCCTCCTCTTGTTGAGTCAGGGTCTCACTGTGCAGCCCTATGTGGCTTAGAACTCGCTATGTAGATCAAGACAGCCTCAAACTGAGAGATCTGCCTGAATGTGCATCTCCAGTGCTGGAATTAGAGGCGTGCACCACCATGCCTGACTCAGCTTTCTACCCCTTTGGATCAGACCTTTGATTGCAGTGCTGTACTCTGACAAAGTACACACAAGTACACACACACACACACACACACACACACACAAACACGCACACACACGTGTGTACATGCAAACTTAAATATTGGCACTAATTCTAAATATTTAAATATCACAAAAGTACATTAATAAAAAGTTTTGTCATTTAAAGCATATTTTAACATAATTATTTAGAATTGTGAGATTGCTTTTCTTCATGTTGAGTACAATGGCTTTATTTGTTCTAATAAAATGTTCAATAGTTATAGCATATAATTAAAAAGAGGAAACAATAGTACATTTAAAATAGTCACACTGTTTTCAAAATATTCACAATCCTCACTCACAAAATGCTCTCCTACATTCCTAGTGACTTTACATATAACTATCAATGGACTATCTCATACATAATGCTCCATTAAAATGGTTTTATCAGAGATTAATCCTATAGATTCCTCTATATGACTCTTACAAGCTGAGCGGATAAATCACCAGAGGCAAGAGGAAAAGTGTGATTTAACCAGAAGACCTCAACTGGGGAAAAAAAAAACCCTGACTAGCGCCTGCTCTTCCTTTGTTCATATCTGCACCAAGACCGGCATCAACTGTATCCACAATTCCAGAGAAAACTTTACTGATGCCTTTGGAAGGCCATGTAGTCAGTGAGCAACACGGTTCCCTGGATCTTTGAAGACTCTTGTTTCAAATAAGAGAGAAATCAATCAGTGTGAGGCTCTTAAGGATGTTTAAAAAATACTCTTCCCATACAGTCAGGATACTTTGGGACACATATTATTCTAGCTGTGTGTTTCAGAAAGGTATGTTCCAGTATCCCTGGCTTCCTCTCATGCTCTCACTGACTCCTGATGACTGCCAATGGAGCTAACCTGCCAAGACACCCCTACTAGCCTGGCACAGAGTCCACCACAAAGAACCCTGGAACTAGGGACCAGGGTCTGAACCGGCAAAAGGGTCCCATCACCTGTAGATGGATGCAAAGGGACAGAAGATCAGTGTGGATTCTGACTCCTCCGTGAGCCTGAAGCTATCGAAGATGACATAGTCTCCACCAAACATATGACGTTGGCACATCTCATAGCAGACCTTCACCTGCATCTCCGGCCTTACTCGGTCATAAAGTGCCTTTGTTTCTCCCAAGTAGATCCCACAGGGTACAGGCTCCTCCAAGGGCTCCTTAACATAGCAGTAACCCAGGCGTTTGCGCTCCCCCAGGCGTTTAAGCTCGCCCTGGTTTTGACAGTTGTTGCATTCCTGCCAAGGTTCCCACCGGGTGTACAGTATCTCTCCGTGGCCCAGGTTCAGTGTGTCATTTATCAGGGGCTCCTGATTCAGGTCTAGGTGCGTGACGTGCAGTCTGGTGACATCCTGGAAATCAATCTTATACCCCGTCACTCGGGTCCCATTCTCGTCCTGGCATTCGTAGAGGCCTGTGCTGAAGGGTGATGGGTTTTGGATCAGGAGGTGACTCTCTGGATCACTGGAAATACCGGAGACACTAACGGGTTTGTCATCTATGTCCAGCCCGAAGAAGAACCAGCGTGCCTTGGAGACGTTGCATTCCAAGAGCACATCATTGTTGGAGAGAAGGGCCAGTTGACATTCCTTGTCCTGGGGACATGTGACAGGCAGGTGGAGCCCCAACACCGGGAGAGCAAAGCTGAGCAGTATCCACAGGATGGTAAGCATGGTGGACTGAGAAGGTGGCTGTGTACTGGCCACCAGCCTGGACACTGTGACGTCATTCATGAACTCACACCTCTGTTGAGCAGAGAGGTGAGCAAAGAGGCTCGAAGCCACAACCTCCCACTGTGACAAGTTGGGATGTAATTTGTCTAGTCAGGGTCTTTCTCTGTCATCTGTGTTGCCAAGAGGTGATTTTCATGTCTGGGGAGTGGCACTGGTGTCACACATGGGAACATTCAACACACTGTTCCTGGAAATGTTCACTATGTCCCAGACACATTGTCTCTCGGGGTTGCCTTGACTGCCTTGGAACTATGTAGCCCAGGTTAGCCTCAAACTCACAGAGCTTCACCTGACTCTGCCTCCTGATGGTGGGATTAAAATTAAATAAATTTTAAAAATTTTATTTTCATGTATGCGTATGTATGTTTGAGTTTTTGTGTCCCATATGTGCAGGATCCCAGAGAGCAGAAGAGATGTCAGGTCCCCTGGGACTAGAGTTACAGACAATTGTGAGCCTCCGTGTGGGTCCTGGGAACTGAACTCGGGTCCTCTGGAAAAGCAGTGTTCTTTAAAAAAAACAAAAAACTTTTATTTTGTGTGGATTTCATATCATTTGCATCCCAGTTCCATTCACCTCTGCCCTTTGCCCTTGCAACCTCCCCAAAAATTAAAAAATATTTTTTTTTTCGAGACAGGGTTTCTCTGTAGCTTTGGAGCCTGTCCTGGAACTAGCTCTTGTAGACCAGGCTGGCCTCAAACTCACAGAGATCCACCTGCCTCTGTCTCCTGAGTGCTGGGATTAAAGGTGTGCGCCACCATCGCCCAGCCCAAAAATCAAAATGTAAACGTAAAATCAAAAGAACAAAAATCAAAAGCCAAACCAAAACAACAACAAATTTTTTTTAAAAAAAATCTCGGCATGGAAGCTGTAGTGTGGCCAGTGAGTCACACAGCATATATAGCCTTTAGTCCATACATCTTTACTTCTAAGTGTTCATTGCAAGGAGTCACTGGTTTGGTTCAAGGCCTCTCTGACTTCTGCTGCCCTATCAGTAACTGAGCCCTCCTTGGGACTGCTCTTGGGGATCCTGTTGTTGCCCTGTGTCATGGAGATCTGCAGCTTAGGATCTCAGGTCCGGCCTCCTCACCTGCTCCAGCAGTTGACAGATGAGGTGGATGTTGGGGTGGGATAACTCATAGCTGTCCCACAGTCCTGGTTCTGGGCCTGGGCTGATCAGTCTGCCAGCCTTCCCTCACCGTCACCACTCAGATGAGCTCTCCAGCCCTGCCCCGGCTAGCTCCCCCAATGCAGCAGACAGCAGGGACAGGGGCCACTTCTGCTCTCACACCCTCGGTCCAGCTCACCCACACTTACACCATAGCCAGCTCTACCACTTTGCCCAGGGAAGGCACAGGGCCCACTCTCCAGACTGCTGCATCTGGTGGAGGACAGGACCAGCTCTTTCCTTCTCATGCCCCTGAGGCCAGCTCTCCCACCTGTCACAGTGGCAAGGGATGTGTGTGTGGAGGTCATATTTCTCTTACCCTTGCCACCCCATGGCATATAAGGGACAGGGTGGGGACATCTCTTCTGCTCTCATGCCCACAGGCCTGACTCACCTGTGCCCCCCTAACAGGATCAGCTTTAGTGTGCTGCCCAGGTAAGGTGCAGGGCCTGCTCTCTCAGCTGCTCAGGTAGCAAGGGGTAAGGGGTAAGGAGAGGGAAGGGAATTTTTGTAACCAGCGCTCTTAATCACTGAGCCAACTCCCCAGTTCCAATCCTTGAAAAAAAATCTTAATTTCATGTGTAGGTATTTTACCTGCATGTATGTCTATCTACCACATGCATGCCTTTTACCCAAGGAAACCAGAAAAGGGCGCGGGATTTCCTGCAGTCACAGAATCAAAGCTCTTAACCACTCAGCCCTCTCTTGAGCTCCCTGACACACTTCTTAAAGGTAGAGCTGTGGCCAAATCCTTGCAGGTTCTGATTTTCTGTATCTCTCTGGGCACCCCATTCATGTTAACTTCTGCCCGGTTTTCCAGAACATTCCAACCAAGCAGAGGCATTCCTGCTTCAGGACCTTAGGACATGTTGGTCTCTAACTTTCCAAGATAGCTGCAAAATTCAATTGATCTTAAATAAATACATATTGTTCACAGTTTCTTCTAGCCCAAATCTTTCCCTAAATACCTTCTCAGACAGGAAATCTGAGATAATCCAGACATTGTAGCAGACATCCAGTAGGATCATTGTATCTGGGGTAAGCATTAGAATGAAATAGTTGTTTGCTACTGTGTCTGGAGCAAACCTCCGAATGAATAGTTTTTTTCGAGAAGTACTTCGACCTTGAAGGAGTCCTTGTGGGAGACGGCAGTCCTTTTCTGCTATCTACAGAGCTGTTTTTCTGAAGGAACGGGAGAGCCTTTGCATGGATTTAGTCACTGGACGGTCCTGGCACACCTGGATGTCCTCGATTCTTGGGCACAGCACACAGTGTACAATAAGGACTGACCTGGGGGGCATGATGATTTCCTTCAGAAAAACATAGAGGGTAGACCAGGGGCTTTGGTGTGAGGAACTTGATTTACCCTCCCTCCCAAAAAAAACAACTTTTGTATAACAATCAATCAGCCTTTAATGATTGTTCAAGGTTCAATTCACAGAAACTTTCTCCCTGAGTCTTGGAGTGACCCCTTTCTACCACCAACCTACACAACACAAAACATCGGGCAAGGCATGATTTTCTGTGGTCCATTCACTGCAAAGATATTTGGTGAATTTCAAATGCCAGCCATCAACTCTTTGGTTTTTTGAGACAGGGTTTCTCTCTGTAGCGTTGGAGCCTGTCCTAGACCAGGCTGGCCTTGAACTCATGGAGATCCTCCTGTCTCTGCCTCCCTAGTGCACCACCACTGCCCTGCACCAGGCATCACTCTTAATAAAGAAACAAGGTTTCTGGCAACACACGTCACACAAGGTCACGTGTTACTATCTCTGTCAGTCATGGGAGTTACATTTGAGAATGCTGGCTACGGATGAACTGTTCCTAAGGGAAACAGCCTCTGGCCATTCAAATATCCTCAGCTAGTCCTTAAGAACCGTGCATTTGTGGAGATTTTTCTTTAAAACTACCTGATTTTTTTGGGGGGAGGGGGGTGTTTGTTTAATCTGGTTTTTGTTGTTGCTTACATGTATTCTCGTGTGTGTGTGTGTGTGTGTGTGTGTGTGTGTTGAATGAATGAGTTTATTGAATTTGCTTACAGGAGCAGAAATGACTCAAAGACAGCTGCATCAACAAAACCCACCCCAGCACCAGTGACAACTCATAAAAGCCGGGAACCTGGAGCCCACTGCCCAGCCACAGACAGCTCATAAGGTTGGAGAGTGGCCTTTCCAGGGGCCTCAGACGGTCTAACCCTCTTCCAGACAGCTCAGCTGGTTTCCACTTCTTCCAGGCAGCTGGTTTGGTCTCAGAATCTTCGCAGCTTTTTTTGTTTTCTCTGGCAGGAAGGGACCTTTGAATCTGGTCAGTTCCAGGGAATTCCTGAAGCTATTCTGAGTTGTTTACCTTCCTGCTTAAGGAGCTTCCCTATGGGATGGATTGTTTCAATCTGTGAGACCAGTACACAACAGTGGGTGTGCCTGCACACATATGCAGGCATGCACGGAGCCGGAGCATGGTGCCTGTGTGGAAGTCGGAGGACAACCTGTCAAAGTCATTTCTCTTTCTCCACCATGTGTGTTCTTGGAATTAAACGCAGGTTGTTGAATTTGGTGGCAAGCACTATTACCCACGAAGCCATCTTGAAGACCTTATTTTGGTTTTTGAGACAGAGTCTCACTGTGTAGCCCTAGCAGACCTGCAACTCTCTTTGTAGACCAGGCTGTCCTCAAAGTCATAGAGATACACTTGCTCTGCATCCCAAGTGCTGGGACTAACTTAAAATAATTTAGAAGGAGGCATTAGTACTGCTCCTACAGACATGAAAAGATAATGAATGGAACTAACAATGATGTCGTGTGCCTATAATTCCAGTACTTAGGAGTCAGAAGCAGGAAGATACTGAGTTCAAGACAAGTCTGGGCTATATAATGAAACCCTGTCTCAAAATACCTAGAGCTGGGGATGATGTGGCTTAGAGGTAGGGTGTTCTAGAATACTCAAAGCCTCGAGTTTGATAACCACAGCAAACAAAATAAAAACAAAAACATACTACAGCTATATATGCGTGTTTTAGTCAGTGTTCAATTGCTGTGAAGAGACACCATGACCATAGCAAATCTTACAAAGGAAGTATTTACTTGGGGCTGGCTTACAGTTTAGAGGTTCAGTCCACTGTCATCATGGCAGGGAGCATAGTGGTGTGTAGACAGACATGGTGCTGGAGAGGTAGCTGAGAGCTCTACATCTGGATCCACAGGTAGCAGGAAAAGAGAGACTCTGGGCTTGGCATGGGCTTTGAGAACCTCAGAGGCCACCCACCTCCCACCCCACCCCCATCCCACCACACACACACACACACACACACCCAGTGACACACTTCCTCCAGCAAGGCCACATCTCCTAATCCTTTCAAATAATGCAACTCCTTGGTGATCAAACATTAAAATCTATGATCCTTTAGGGGCCGTTCTTATTCAAACCAAAGCTTCTTGATGCTTTGATGGAATGGGTAAATTTGTGGGAGAAAGAAAACAATTTAACAACACTAGCACTGGTGTAGAAGGTCCTTCTGTTTGTGTGTTGCTTTCACTGGTTAATGAATAAAGAAACTGCCTTGGCCTGATAGGGCAGAACTTAGGTATGCGGAGAAGATAGAACTGAATTCTGGGAGAAAGAAAGCAGAATCAGAGAGCCGCCATGGAGCTGCCAGGTCAGACATGCTGAATCTTTCCTGGTAAGCCACGACCTTGTGGTGTTATACAAATTAATAGAAATGGGTTAAATCAAAATGTGAGAGTTAGCCAATAAGAGGCTAGAGCTAATGGGCCAGGC